GGCTGCCAAGATGGGGAGCTCTGAGGACAGAGCCTGCTGGGGATGCTAAGGGCTCCAGGCTGATCTGGGAGCCCGCAGCATGAGCTTGTCCCTTTAGGGATCTGTCTCAAGCTTGACTCGGGGAGGTGGGGGGCTGCAGAGGGGGCTGTGACGGGGACTGAATGGAGGTGGCCGAGGTGCAGCCAGGCCCGTGGGGTACAGAGGGCAGGGCGGGGTGCAGACTCAGAGTGTTGGGGGACCCCGAGGGCAGGGATCATTCTCCTTCAAGAAGTGGATTCCTTGTGCCTGGATGTGCGTCCCCTTACCCCGAGTTTCCAGCATCCCGGCCCCTTGAGTGTGTGTGGGAGTGTCCTCAGGTGAAGGAAGGCAGGTGGGCGCCAGCCTGGAGAAAGGGCATCTCACCCCATTTTGGGGTGAGACCTGGCTCTCAGTAGTCCGTGTGGGCGAGTGCCAAGGCCAGGGAGCCCCCCTCTCCAGCTCCGGGACCGGGACCCGCCTCTCCCGGCAGCGAGGCCCAGGCTGCAGAGGGCCATCCCTGGGATGGGTCCTGGGTGCCCTCCTTTTTCGGGGACCTAGTCACCAGCTGTCTCAGGGCATAAATGGGGTCGCTGCCCGCTGGCCCCGGGCTGGGATCTCCATAATCGGGGATTACGCACAATCCAGGCTGACCTGGTGCAGCTGCCTCCTTGGGGTGGCTGGGGGTGTCCGGTGCCCCTGCAGCTGCCAAGGGACAAGGCTTGGGGTCAGCCTGGGGTCACTGCAGTCCTTTTGCCAGTGGCTGGGCCTCCCTGGCCTGTTAGCACCCCCTAAGAGAGCTAGAGGAGGCATGGGGCTTCAGCTCAACTCAGGGGCTCTTCTCAAGCCAGACCTTGCCCATGCACCTTGGCTCTGTCCCCAGAGTTACCTGGTGGGGACATCTTGTCCTTGCTAACAGGCCTCACCCTCTGGAGCTTTCACCCTCTCACCATCTGTATCTGTATCATCCCTTTGCTTAGTGGGCCACTTGGTGAGGCAGGACTGCTCCTCAGGGCAGGGTTAGGCCTGGACAGCAGCCCCTCCGTGGGGCAGGGTGTCCGGCCACTCCTGGGCTGTGACCAGGCCTGCGTGCCCTCAGCTTTCCTATCTGCACAATGGACCTGGTGGCTGTTCCCCAAACTTCAGGCGTTGCAATGTGTGCCGTGACCTTGGATTTCTCCTACTTTCTCTTTACACTGACTCCATTTTTCATTACACTTTGTTTAAAAACACTCAATATTACTTCTTTTAAATGGAAGATTCGGTTCATTTACCCTAGTGCAGTAGGGTGGCCGTAAAATCAAAGTGCACTGAAAACAAAACAAGAAAGTCACAATTCCAGCTGTAAGGCTGTTGGCTGAGGCCCATGTGGGGTGGAGGCGGCTGGCGATGTCTGTGAAGAAGAGGGATCAGCAAGTGTTGGGGTGTCGAGAGGTGTAGACGTCCCCTTGGTCAGATCAGCAGGATGGCCCGGAGGCGGGTCCCGGTCCCAGAGCTGGAGAGTAAATCCCAGGTGGAAGGTGGGGGCTTCTGAGCAGGGGCTGGGCGTGGTGCCGCAGAAGGGAGGTGGCGAGGTCCTGGGTGATGGGCAGGGATGGGAGAGGCAGGGGCTGGTTGCTGCCCTCTGACAGGCCCAGGGGGCCTGGCTCGGGGGAGGCCTCTGGTGGGGGAGTGGGGCTGCAGTGGGAGGAAACTGAAGCCTGAAGCTTGAGGCCGCCTCCACCAAGGTGATAGGTGAACTGGGGATGGGGGTGGATGAGGTCCCAGAGGAGAGGGGGCGACTCAGAATTGGGAAATGCCGAAGGGGCGAGGTGGGCAGGCTGCGGAGTAAGTATTGAGGGGAGGAGCACTGTGATGAGGCAAGTGTGGGAGGAGGTGTGAAATATCCAGCAGGTGAAAACAGAGCCCAGAGACCTGTCTGCATGTGTCAGGACAGAGCTCTGTTGCAGCTCAGAACTCTGCAGGGGGACGACTGGTGTCAGGGAAGCTGGGCCCACGGACCGCCCTCCTGGAGACAGGTGGGGCCTGGGTTCTGCAGGGACAGACAGCCTTAAGCCCAAACCATGTTATGGTCCAGACATGCAGTTCAATGAGAGATGGAAACACGGCGCTAGCAGAAGTGCAGCCAGGTCCACAGAGAGGGCCTCGTGGGGATGGGGAAGCCCACGCGTGCTTGCAGGTCGGCGCGCGCACACACATGCACTACAAACACGTATGCACACGTGCCCACACTCCCACATGCACGCATGTGCACAGACACACACACGCACGCACACACTCAGCCCCTCTGGTGTCATGGAGCCCGTCCTGCAGTCACTGTCCAGGGCCGGTGCAGCACGACCCAGGCTCCCAGCACACACGCAGGCACGCCTGGGCTCACACTCAGCACGCGGTGTCTTCTGCTCTGGACTCTGTCCGCTTCTCAAGCGGGCGCCTGGGAGAGTGAGCACCCAGACAGCTGAAGGTGCTGATGGCAGGACATACCAGCAGCCCACGGGGTCGTGGGCACGTGCTTCCAAATGCCAAATGCACCTGTCACAGCTGGCGATCTGTGCTCGGGGAACTCAGCCCGCAGGTCAACTCACGTAGCTGCTGATCCCCGCTGCGCTGGCGGCTAAATCCGGGAGACCGACACCCAGCAGCAGGCCTGGTGGAGTGAGGGCGCCCATCCCACGAGGGTGTCTGTGCAGAGAGCCCGTGGTCCTGATGTGCTGCTGGGAGTGGGGCGGGGACACGCTCCGGTGGTGTCACTGTGACCAGGGAGGGAGCTCCTGGGATCATGCTTCCAGTGCCCTCCCTGGGTCTGAGTTTTACCACATTACAGCTTTTACTGCTTTCAGAAACCACCGTATGTGGATGTGTCTGTGCCTGTGTGCGCGTGCTTGTGTGTGTGTGTTTTGTGTATGCGTTTGGGTGTTTCTGTATCTGCACAGAAGTGGTTAAGCCCCTGATTCAGTTCGGTATTTCTCTGAGGAGAGTGAGTGGAGCAAGACTGAGGGGAACACGGTCATCTATATCTTAGTGAAAGAAGTCTAAAGCAAATACGGAAATTGTTCAGGTTTGGATCAGCAGGGTGTGGGTTCCATTATTCTTTTTGCTTCTTTCATGTGTTTAAAATATTTTGCATGAAAAGAAGCTGTAGTTAGACAAAAGGGGGCCCCCAGTTGAGCACCCCTGGGACCAGCACTGTCTAGGGCCAGAGGTCAAGGGGGCAGGAGCCCAGAGGAGGCTGCAGGCCCAGGGCCGCAGATAGAGGATGCGGGATGGACAGGTGATGCTGGAAGGCTGGCACAGGGGCCCAGGACTGCAAACAGGAGGAGGCAGAGGCCAGCTGGCAGTCCGTGGGCGGCCAGGAAGAGGAGGAGGTGAGGTCCACCCTGTGCTTTCCACTGGGCCTGCTCCCTGGCCTTTGCACAGAAGCCTGGCCCTGCAGTCCCTGATTGGCTCCCTGCTTTGTGAGGTGGCCCTCAGTAGACGTTCCCCCTTCCCCGAGAGCTGTTGGATGCGTGAAGGAATCTTTGAGCAGTGCCCGGCTGGGCAGGAGCCGGGAGGGCTGGTTACAGTGTTGCAGCTGCCCAGAGCCCAGGAGATGTGGCCTGAGGGACTGGGGTTGGTACAGGGTGGTTGTGACCGGCTTTGCTTCCGCTTTCTGCATTTTCCAGACATTTTGTACCACGGATGGAGTTTTTCAGTCATGCAGGAACATTGCATTTCAGACAGATGAAATAGAATCTTGTTGGACCCTGAAATGTGGAAGCCATTTGCAACCTCACAGGGAGCAGTCTGAGCTGGGCATTTTGGGTGCCAGGATCCGGGGCCTCAGGGTCCCTCCTGCAGAGGAGAGGAGAGGCGGGTGGGGGCTGGGGGCGGGGTGCTCTGCCTGGGGCCCCTCCTGGGCTGCAGGAGTGCGTGGTGCACGGGTCACCGGGCGGATGTCTGTCTCCCTGCAGCGCGGAAGCAGGAGATTATCAAGATCACAGAGCAGCTCATCGAGGCTGTCAACAACGGTGACTTCGAGGCCTACGCGTGAGTTAGGGCGCCCGGGCCTGTCCTGGGGCAGCTGGGGTCGGAGAGGGGAACCTACCCTACAGGGAGGGGGTGGATGGAAGGGGCAGCTTCTGAGGGGCCTCTCCTCACTTGGGTCTGCCCCCCAGGAAAATCTGCGACCCAGGCCTGACTTCATTTGAGCCTGAAGCTCTGGGCAACCTGGTTGAAGGGATGGACTTCCACAGATTCTACTTTGAGAACTGTGAGTGAGGGGCTGGGGCAGGGAGGAGGGCGGCACCCATCCCTGGAGGTGGCCGGCTGGTCAGGGGCCTGGGAAGTCTGTGCCCAGGGTTGGCCAGCCCCTGCCCCACCTCCTGTGGCAGAGCTCCCCCAAGACCACTTGAGAGGTGGGAGGGGGTGCAGACACACTGCGACAGGGAGGGGGCAGCCAGAATGGCACTCCCAGGGGCGCTGGGCCAGTGGAGGGGCCGGGAGGGGGGCACAGTGCCAAGCCCCTGCCCGCCCACAGTGCTCGCCAAGAACAGCAAGCCGATCCACACGACCATCCTGAACCCGCACGTGCACGTCATCGGCGAGGACGCCGCGTGCATCGCCTACATCCGCCTCACGCAGTACATCGATGGGCAGGGCCGGCCCCGCACCAGCCAGTCCGAGGAGACGCGCGTGTGGCACCGCCGAGACGGCAAGTGGCAGAACGTGCACTTCCACTGCTCGGGCGCGCCCGTGGCCCCGCTGCAGTGAAGGTGAGCGCCCGCGCGGGGAGGCGGCAGGGAGCGGTGGGGACTGCGGCAGGGCTGGCTCCGGGGCACAGAGCGGACGGAGCCTCGTGTTCGAGGCGTGGTGGCGCGGGGCCCACCGAGCAGCCCTGCAGGGGTCCGCCTTGCAGACGACAAAGCCCGGGAGAGTGGCTGCCCCCGAAGCTGACCCCGGCCCACCCTCGCGCCCGCCCTGTTTCAGAGCTGCAGCTGGTTTCGCGGGACAGACTCGGTGTTTGGAGCCCAGCTGCCCTCGGGCGCACGGCCTGCCTGTCGCATGTTTGTGTCTGCCTCGTTCCTCCCCTGGTGCCTGTGTCTGCAGAAAACCAAGACCAGATGTGATTTCTTTTTAAAAAACAAGATGACAACGACAACCACACACACACAAAATGATGTCGGATGAAATGGAAAAAAAAAACACTAAACAAAGGAAAAAGCTGTAAAAATCACTGGCATTTGTGGGGCTTTGAACCTTCCGGCCGCTCCCCACCCAAGCTCCACGTGTCCGTCTGCTCCTGGCCTCCGCTGGGGACCGGCCGGGGCAGTGAACTTGTCCGCAGGGACCTGCCACCTGAGGAACATGGTGTTTGCTAGGTGGCACCCACCCCCAAGGTGTCTGCATCCTCCATGCTGCACAGGGCTCAGTCAGGAGTGTCAGGTGTCATCTGGGGAGGGGCTGGGGGACCTGAGGGGGCCTGATCACGGCAGTCCTTGCC